CTTTCTGTATGCGAGAATTCGAACATCAAACAATCAGGTAATAATCGCCGCTATTAATCCACGACCGGCAAAGCAGGAATGCCGAATACGTAAAGACTAATGGATGTGTAAACGCATGCGCATAAGTACATCTTTGTGATTGTGTCAGACACGATGGTGCGCTCCCAGAAATCGTACGTAGTTTCGTACGCTTGGTTTCCGGCCGAAGTAACACGTAACGTATGATCTGTAGCGACACCGAGGAGACACGGGAAGCTTACAGCAGGCCTGGTGCAAGCTTAAGGCGACTAACCCGGTGTTTGCACGTCACGTGAACGCGGATGTATTGCGACAGCGTGCGTGTGGCTTAACGATCGGGAGAGGGAGCGGGAAGGGGACGGAGAGGAGAGAGGGAGAGGTGGTTCGAGCGTAGATAATTACGACCGAATACATCTGACGCGACGCCGTTCCACCACGCGGCGGTTGACGGGCGGAAAAATATTGTGATTGTACAATTTTCATCGCGCCTAGGAGGATCGTTAAAGCGCAACGCATTTGTCGAGCGTTGTTAACGCTTGTCAACTTTATTCGAAAAGTATTAAGAGGTATTAAGAGGTATTAACTCTTACGTGAATAACCGTTTCCGGGCCATTATCGTAATCACACGTTTACTTTAACGACAATTCGTATTTTCGAAGCGCAAAGAACACGTTCTACTTTCTTTTTTTCTTCGACGATCGTTCGAAGGATTTCCTCATTTTCCACTATAATATATATACCAGCCAGTTAATCGTATCGACCCGTGATGGAAGACCCGTCTTGGAAACTTGGAAACGACTTTAGCTTATTGTAGCCCGCTATTTATCGTTCTGATCGAAATTGCCCGCCCTAATCGAAGATGTTAACGCGAAATATTTATCGTGATATGTTTGCTCCTCCCTTCGGGGGAGAGGATAGCGATTATATCGGGTAACGGGATGTCATAATTGAACACGAGGAGCGTGGAGAGCGTCCACATATGGGGCAACAAGCGTGGCGTGCGAGGTGAAGCGACATTAAGGAGGCGTGAAAGGCATGCAGAGGATTAAGCCCGGTTTAAGGGCTCTAAGGTAATGTTTGCGCTGCTCGTGCCTCGTGTAGTTGGCGGTTCCCCGGGAAGGTGAAGCACGTGCATTAGCGGTATCGTGATTAGTAATTAGCTGATGACGCGTGCGTAATTCGTCGACGGATGGGTAAACAGGGCGGCAAACGGAACCATCTTTATGAAAACATACACGTGAGCCGAGCCTTTTCCTTTTTTTTTTTTCCTTCCTTTTTCTCGCGTATTCGCGAATGCTTTCGGGAGGGCAGGGATCGAAAAATTTCCCCGAAAGGTAATTTGTCCGTGGACTGGCTCCGACGTCATCGTTTGAGCCGGCGAGCGTCGGTCCATTAATTCGAAGTCACCGGCAGAGGTGGACATAATGAATGCCTTTGAACGGAAAAAGAGATCGAAATACGTGGAGAGGGGAGGGAGGAGGAGGAAGGGAGAGATAGAAGAAAGGCGCAAACAGTGTACGGGAATAATGAAATGGAGAGAGCGTTGCCTAAAATTAAATTCACGGAAAAGGAGGAGAGAGTAAATCGATAATTTTAAAAACTTATGTCATTGAGAAGAGGAGTAGAGAGGCAAATACAACGTGCGCCGCATTTTATTCTCCTAATATATAAAATTCCTCGCGACCGAGATATTATTATCGGTTTGATCGTCACAGTGTATCGAGATCGTCCGATACCTTGATCTGGCAGCCTGACATTAACTGCAGCTAATAGAGATAAATTACTGTCTCGTAAACGGGAACGGCGATACGATACGGGAAGCAAAACGAGCATTTTCGGATCGAAATTGGATTTGAAACTCGTCCAAACAATAACTCGCTTGGCGAGTAAGAAAATTGTTTGAAAATTCGGCGGGGAAAAAATCCGTTTGTACATCTGGATAAAAATATCGAACGGCTCGAATAGATAAAAAGTGATCCTCCGCTTTGCGAGATAATTTGGATCAGCGGTTGACACGTGACTCTTTCTCTGTCTATATCGTTTCGCTCCCTTTGTCCTCATTTGCGGAAACATCTGGAAACTAATATCCCTGCTAACAAACTAACGTTGTACGCGCATCGTAATCCCCGTGCATCGATGATCCTATCGCTGTAGAATTATTTACGCAAATGTAGCTCACTCATCGGAACTGTGCCGGTATTATCCCTCGAGATTCGATTGCACGACGCATATTATAAGCCACCGCTAGCCATTATCCTCGCTTTGATTGAGATTTATGAAGGACGGACCTTCAAACTTCTTCTTCAACACTTTAACAATGGTTTCTTGTTTTTTTCTTCATGAGATAAATAAGTCGAACGATCCGATGGACACAATGTGCCATGAAACAGCAGTTAAAGGGTTGATCAATTACCGCAATCTATTCGTCTGCAGATGTTTATGCGGGTACAATATGTCGAAATTATGATGTGGGTGTGGCTGGATACGTGTCGCTAGAAATAGAATCGAAAATAAGGATTAATGCAAGGCAAGTAATATTTTTTTTTAGTTGGAAATTTATTTTCATAAGATTTATTATGTATATATATATATATATATCTTTTCATGTGTAATTTTTTTGCCATTCCGACAATTCTCCTTTAAATTCTCGAAATATTTCGAAATTTTGCATCTTCTTCGTTCTCTTTTTTCTTTTTTTTTTAAATCGTACATCAAAATTTTTACGTTTTCATTTCAAAAGGAAACATGCATAACTGCGACAGGTTGATATATCACTATCGAACATATTATCCGATGAAGAGAAACTTTTTGTATGTTTTAACGGAATAAATTCGGGCGAAAATTCCTATGAAACTTGCTGACTTTTAGCAAAAATAAAAACTGGTTCAAAAACTAGTAGCAGTAGTTTTATTCCATCATTTTTACAAGATACAAAAAAAATCC